AGTCAACAACTTGACTCTCTCTCTCTCTCCAATGGCCGGCTCCTTTTGTGTTGTTTGGGCTTTGGGCTTTTATCATTTCAAGTCATCCTATACTTAAATAAAAGCCCAATGGGTTTAGGCTTAATGGGCCCAAATGAACCCGAACTTTTCTTTAAGTCCAAAACGATCTTTCATCACTTCTATGATTTCTTTAGACTTTCTAATTAATCATAACACTTAATTAATCCAATTAATTTATTCCTTCATCCTTTAGTTGTCTCACTACAAGAGTGTTTCGGTTTACAACCATTTTAGGTTCTAATTAGCAAGGCAGTGAGGTGATTGGCACCAATCCAATTGATTTGTATTAATCCAATCACTTAGTGAATTAAAACTTACTTTCAATTCTCCTTCTTCTTTGATGACTACTTATTTAATCATCTAGAAGAACCCACAAGCCATGAGTGACATCTAACCATATATCATGGCTACCCAAGCTAATGTAGAATTTGTTCGGAGAACCTATTCAGTTGGAATTACAATGTAATTCGATCCTTCTCTAATACAATACTCACAATCATATTACTAGGGTATGGATATTTAATGTCAAACCCCTAATGTGATTATATCAAGTTATATGATTCTATTGAGTCGTATAGGAACGCTTTCCATCATTACGCTCGATACTTCGGCCGAAGATTCCTAAATCATATCTTAGAGTATTCATCCTCTCATAACGAGGATTAGAGATCCCTTGTTGATCATTCACATGCCTCTGAGAATAAATCACTGACCCCAACAATGCATAGAACACATCCAAGATGAGATGTGGTCACGTCTCATTATCAAATGATCAGCAACATATCTCCAAGACAACTATGATGTCTCAGGTCAAAGGATTACTTACATTATTCCAACCAGTAGAGTTACTTGCTTGACATGTGAGTAGACCTCCATGCAAGTACTCTCGTTTGATTGTGTTCAGTGAACTCATTCCCATAATGAGCACCTACATACTTATCTTAGTGTCACTACATGAATGGCATGAGACTTTCCATCCTTCCCATGGGAAGGGGACATAGTATGTACTGGTCTATGTATTGTCAGTGTCCCTCCGACAATCCTATGACCAGGAACTCTTTTGGACATCATGGTTATGAGAAGAAGGTCTTTGTAGTCTAACATCATTAGATTACTTCTTCCATCGATCCAGTGTCCATGGATTCACCTTTTAGGACCTATATCGATTATTGAGATAGTCCTAATGAGTGACTTTGCCTTTTTGATGTATTAGAGTTTTTCCATACATATAGACATTGTCCTGAAAGGTTTCTTCCAAAGATTGACTTTCAGGGCATATCTCCAACAGTTGCAGCTAGGGAACATGAATGATTGTGAACATGGTAGAGAAAGGAAAGGGAGGTGGAATGGTGCAGAAATGAGTCAAAGGTGCAACAAGACTCATGATGCATGGCATGGGATTCCAAATGTGGTGGATGGTGCATCAATGAGTGCATGTAGTGGAGGTAAAAGTTGTATGAAATCTGATAGGTGAAGGGGACAAGAAATGTGCAGCAATTGAGTGCAATGATTCAATGTTTTGATGCATGAAATCAGAAATAGTGAAGGAGACAAGGGTGGTTATGCATGGCATGGTTGGAAAGGTGAGTAAGTGGTGAAACAATGAGTGCAATGAGGTGAAAGGATATTGTGCACATGGTAGACAAAGGAAATGAGGTGGAATGATGCAACAAATGAGTCAATGGAGGGAACATGGATGATGATGCACAACATAGGAATCCAAAGGGAGTGCAATGGTGATGCACGACAATGATGGAAAGGTGAATGGTGGAGTGACACCCCTTTATGGCTGAGCTCTTTGTCCTTTTTACACTAATTCTTCTTTTTCTTTAACACATTCCTAGCCTCTTTAGTCTTCAATTTGGTCCATCCACCTTGCTCCATGCATGTGCTATCCATTCCAAGCCCAAAACTGCTCCAAAATGCACCAAAATGCACGTTATTGCTTTATAAGGCCTATGGACCTACAAACACACGAAAATAGCTTAAAATACATAATTAACTAAGAAATAACAACATAAATGCATGAGAACAAGCTAACTCAGTCGCATAAATATGCTCCTATCAAATTCCCCTACACTTAGCTTTTGCTAGTCCTCGAGCAAAACAAAACAAACGAAACAAACAAAACACAACCTAGACCTTCCAACATTTGCCTCAGGGATTTTTAATGAAATATGACATGTTAAAAATCATCATTCCCACAGATTTTGGTCATCTTTACACTTTAGCACATACTTAATCACAGTCACCCCTTACTAGTTCACAATTAACCAATTAAAACGATGTTTTGAATGTAGTAACATGCCTTAGAGAATTTGCTCAATTCCTTACAAGATACTCTCTATTTTCACACACATTTTCTGACTACACACCCTACACTAGTATATGTGAGAAGATTGATGTAAACACGAAAGACTAGGACTCACATATGTTATAACAAAGAAAGCAATTTTCTGGAGTATTAAGCAAGTTTAGATATGACCTCATGATTGGAATGCTACTACTTAGATGCAAGAACCAGTGACACCATATGCTCATACCAATTTCGAACTCCACAAATTGAAATACACAACACTCAAGATTGAAGTCAAGGGTTGTAACAGGGCTTGGGGGTAATGGCTAATAAAGAAAGGATAGGAATAACAAACGTTCTTAAAGCGATAGCAAGCAAAGCAATGAAATAGACAATTGGAACTCACTTTAGAATGTAGAATCAACTTTTAAATACAAAGGGAAGATTCATGCAACACTTAGGGCCGAATTCAATGTTTTGGACCCTTTTTTAACAAACAACACTTTAGAGCTCTTTTTCATACTCTTTTCAATTCTCACTTCCCCCACACTTGCTTTATGCAATACATTGATAAAAAAATGAGTTCATTTTAAGTCATGCTTTACTATGCTTCAAGAATAAGGGTATGGATGGTCCTAAAACTAGGCTTGGTAGTGATAGTGTGGATTAACAAAGAACATAGGCTTAACCAGGCTCAACGGGGTTAAACTTAAACACATAATGAAATAGGGGCATGGCAATTTGGCTTTGGTGGTCACTACACAACTTCATCTTGAAAATGTGTTATGCAAATCAATAGCATGTGTTTGTACCATACTTGACCAATCCTGAAATACTGAACACCGGTCAACGTTATACCGTCAAGGACCCATAAGAGTTTCGCTCCAACCAGGAGGCCAATCACAGCGCGACACGTGTCGACATCAAAAGCCAATCAAAGCGCGACACGTGTCAACATCAGAAGCCAATCACAACATGACACGTGTCAATGTCAGAATGAAACTAGAAACTCTCTTCTATAAATAGAGATCATTCTCTAACAATATTTCCTAATGTCATTTGTACTGAATCATTCACTTGTACTCACTAAAGGAGAGCTTGAACCTATGTACTTGTGTAAACCCTTCACAATTAATGAGAACTCCTTTACTCCGTGGATGTAGCCAATCTGGGTGAACCACGTACATCTTGTGTTTGCTTCCCTATCCCTATCCATTTACATACTTATCCACACTAGTGACAGAAGCAATCTAGCGAAGGTCACAAACTTAACATTTTTGTTGTACCAAAGTCCCCACTGATTTTGTGCATCAACATTTGGCGTTGTCTGTGGGAACGACACTTATTCCCACTCTCTTCAGCTTTGTCAAGCTGGTTTCCACCATTCGTACACTCTATTTTGACCAGGCATCCCTCTCTAACATGGGGAGCGAAGGAAGCCACAGCACACAGAATAACACCCCTCTTGTACGTAGTGCTTCGTTAAATCATCAAATTTGAATTACATGTTAATTCCTTACGGATGAGCAAAAATTGCACTTTATTGTATGAAATGGGTATTAATCAGTTGCCTTATGATTTTCACAGTTTCATGGACAGCTGTGAACTCGGTGGTGAAATTCCTTCAACATTTGCCAAGCTCACCAACATGCGAGCCTTGTAAGAACGGCTCTTAAATCGTATTTTGAGATTGCTTTTCTTGGATGAGCTTAGTATAATTCAACTTTTTGAATTTTAGCTGGGCATCGGACAGTCCTTTCTCAGGAAAGATACCTGATTTCATAGGGAGTTGGACAAACCTCACTTATTTGTAAGTAGAGAAACCTTTTATCTTTTGCAGTTTATGAAAGCAGACCTGAGATGGATAATTTGTTCACAAGCTTCTTATATGTTTCTGTAGGCAATTTCAAGGGAACTCTTTCGAAGGCCCAATACCAACCAGCTTTTCTCAACTGACCTCATTGTACTATCTGTAAGTACAAATGTTTCATAAATTGTAATTCTCTCTCTCTTTCTCCGAAGACGGGATTTCAGTTTATTTTGCATATAATGATGTAGGTATATCAGTGATATACACAATGGGAGCTCTTCTCTTGATTTCATAAAAAATCTGAAAAGCTTGATTGATTTGTAAGTGAAGATTCTCATCGATCCAGATACTTTCATCTAACTTCTTTTTCCTTTTGAAATTTGATATCTTACTCCATCTACTTTTTATCAAATTTTATGATTTTGGAATACAGAAAACTACGAAACGCATTAATCACTGGTACCATCCCATCTGATATTGGAGAATATCAAAGTCTACAGACACTGTACGTACCAGCAAATATAAGCTTGAGTCCCAACGAGACCAATAGTTTTCTTTCATTCTGATTGCTCCTCTCAACTTATCGTTGGTGTTGCAGGGATCTGAGTTTCAACAATTTGGCAGGCCAACTCCCAAGTTCTTTGTTCAATAATCTGAGTTATCTTGATTCCTTGTAATCCCCGTCCTTAATATTATCTTTTGCTTGCCTTATCATACATAAGTTATCAAATCTTTAACATTCCCTACTTTGATTGAAGATCTGGACTAATCCTTCTAGATTTTGTGCACATCTGACCTTTTGTTTGTTCATCTCTTTTTCTTTTCTGGGTGCCTTCTACTATAATCGAAATGGCTAGGTTTCTTGGAAACAATAGTTTGTCCGGACCTCTTCCGAGCCAAAAGAGCGATCAACTTCAGACTATGTAAGTCCTCGTTTCTTAAAGTAGTCATATAGAATGCACAGTGCATGTATGTGCTTGTGTATAATCGTAAGCATTCTAATCCTATCTTACACAAGTTCTTAATAATTGTGTCTTTTGATTCTATTTTGTTATTTGCAGAGATTTGTCTTACAATTTTTTATCAGGAAGCTTTCCGCAGTGGGTGACCACAAGGTTGCAACTGTACGTGTCCTTTTATCTTTCACCTTCATTTTACAGTTTAAATCACCAGAATATGTTTGGACAAAAAATTATCGTTGAGATTCGTTTTCACAGTGCTACTTGCCTACTAAGTTTTGATCTTGTACATGGAAATTTCATTTGATAAAGATATAGTTCTTCATATGTTGATTGATTAATGATTTTATGCAGGAACTTAGTGGTCAACAACTTCACATTTGACAGTTCAAACATAACGTGAGTTGAAGTTTCTCTAACTAGTTTTTAGACAAGCAATACTATCACTACTCGTCCACTACATGATTCTATTTGGATAACTAATAATTGTTCTCTATGTTTGCAGTCTTCCTGGATTGAATTGCCTCCAGAGAAATTTTCCATGCAATCGAAATACCCCACGATGTAATCTGCTCTTATGTCACCCATCATTTACTATTTTAACGCAACGTCATGTTAAAGGAAAAGGCATTGCTTCTCTAGTTATGTATACATATGGGTATAGATTGCAAGCATGTTTTTATAAGTTCAGTAATACGCATAACTGGTTAGAAATTTGTGACTGAATAACATTTGTATGAGTCTTCAATTTGACGTTTCATCGCTAATCATGGCTAGCTTCTGGTATTACATGAAACTTTACAGATGCAAGCTTCTCAATCAAGTGTGGTGGAAAACAATTGACGGGAGGTGATGGCATATTGTATGAGACTGACGACTCACCTCTTGGCCAAGCAGCATTCTATGTAACAAGTACAGAGAAATGGGCTGTCAGCAATGCCGGTTTGGTTAATGACACATGGAAGAACCCATTGTTTCTGGTAGATACCACTGCAGTAGTCACCGGAACAGATGTGACCCCATACCTTTTCTCGACTTCAAGAGTGTCCCAAGGATCACTGAGATATTATGGCATGGGCCTTGAGAATGGGCCATACACTGTAACATTGCACTTTGCAGAGACGGTTTATGAAAGTCGCACTTCGCAAACTTGGAAAAGTCTAGGACGGCGTGTATTTGATATCTATATTCAGGTAAGACTGCTTATAGAATAAAAATTCTAACTTATTTGAAGTAAACACCTCATTGGACAGGTTTTCGATGTTTTAAGCTACATTAACTAAAGACAGTGATTTAAAGGAGACTAGAATTATCACCTACCTCTTCATTTGGTTGCTAGGGTACCCGCATGACGAAGGACTTTGACATATCGAAGGAGGCAGGTGGTGTTAACCGAGCAGTTGTGAGAAAATTTAATGTTAGCGTGTCAGAGAATTATCTTGAAATTCATCTGTTCTGGGCTGGTAAGGGGACTTGTTGCATACCCGATTATGGTGATTACGGCCCACTAATAGCGGCTGTCCATGCTGCTTCAGGTATAGTATGTGTTGACTTATAGAGATTTCCTATAAGTGGTTTAAATGTATTTTTCTGCTGTTAATTGACACTGAAGAATTCGTCTATTTTATCACTCACATTTTACCCCAACAGTTTTCTGGCTTCCACCAACTAAGAAGAGCAGGACTGAATTGACAGTTGGTATTGCAGTTCCTGTTGGAGTTGTGAGCCTGCTATTAATATTTGCGATTCTATATATGAGGAGGAAAACATCAGAAAAAGAGGACGACGAAGGTAAACGACCATATTATTAGTGGTATCCAATTCAGGTTTCTCTGCTCTGACATTAACACACACAAGTAATAATGCTTTTACGAAAGTAAAACTATTGTCACTATTTCGTGAATGTGCAGATATTCTAGGATTAGACCCTCGACTAAATACTTTCAGTTATGCTGAGTTGAGAGCTGCAGCCGAAGATTTTAATCCTTCAAATAAGTTAGGAGAGGGAGGATATGGCCCTGTTTATAAGGTGAAATCCGTATTACATCAGTATCATGTACTTGAAGTAATGACAAGAGAAAGGGGGAGAGAGCGAGTGAGCGAGAGAAGAAAATAAAGCTTCTTTTTTCTTTCTTTTCATGGCACTAAATTGTGTTTCTGGGTACATTGTAGGGTACACTTTCTGATGGGAGAGTAGTGGCTTTGAAGCAACTTTCAGTAGCATTTCACCAAGGGAAGAGTCAATTTGTATTTGAAATTGCTACCATATATGCTGTGCAACATCGGAATCTAGTGAAATTGTATGGATGCTGCATCGAAGGCAACCACCGCATTTTGGTTTATGAGTATCTTGAAAACAAGAGCCTTGATCAGGCACTTTTTGGTACAAACCTATCTACTTTTAGGTTGCATGGAAACAACATTGTCTGCAGTTTCAAGCACTCTAAAATTGTTCAGAAATGTTTTTGATTGGATGTGTTCACTAATATTTCAGGAACAAGTAACTTGCACCTTGACTGGCCTACTCGATTCAATATATTGTTGGGAACAGCAAGAGGACTTGCTTACCTTCATGAGGAGTCAAGGCCAAGGATTGTACATCGAGATGTCAAAGCGAGTAATATTTTGCTCGATGCAGAACTCTCCCCAAAAATATCAGATTTTGGACTAGCAAAGCTTTATGATGACGAGAAAACCCACATCAGCACCAAGGTTGCAGGGACAATGTAAGCCATCCTTTATTGTTTTTCCAGAGGATACATACATTATGGCCACACACATTTACACTTGCATGAAATTTTAACACATGTTAATAATGCCTCTAATGATCTCAAGCAACATTGTGCAACCATTTGATTATCTTGCATTGCAGAGGCTATTTGGCACCGGAGTATGCATTGTTTGGACATTTGACAGAGAAGGCCGATGTGTTTGGTTTTGGAGTCGTCGTTTTGGAGATCCTCAGCGGGAGACCAAACTCTTACAATAACTTGAATCCAGAAAAGATTTATCTTCTTGAATGGGTAGGAATTGCATTCGCCTAGCTTCATTTAGGCATTGTTGTGAAAAAATTTATTTATACTTTCCCTTGATCGTGGCATAATGTTTTTCAGGTATGGACTCTACATGAAAACGACCAAACTCTGGGGCTGGTGGATCCGAGATTGACAGAGTTTGATGAAACTAAAGCAACTAGATTGATAAAAACAGCTCTCATGTGCACGCAGGGATCACCGATGGCGAGGCCATCTATGTCACGCGTGGTTGCAATGCTCTCTGGAGACATGGAAATAGGCATGGTCATGTCGAAGCCAAGCTATTTGACATATTATAATTTTAAAGACGTAACAACATTTTCAACAGGAATATTATTGGCGGAGGATGATACCCCATCAACTGCATCCAAGGATAGTAATGTTCCCCTCAACAGTCAGCCGAGAGGCAGCAATGCAAGTGGAGCTAACACTCCCTGGATTGACCCTGCGCCTTCCGTAAACGTGACTCAATCACTGCTCGCTGGCATTAGAAGAGAAGGAAGGTGATAAATATCAGGAAATGATTTCCGCTTGCTCCTTTATCCCTTTGTGCACCCTTGTACTTGTTTTGGACCCTTTCCTTTTCTATAATACACATTTTAATAATTAATTGTAATTGTACTTTAGCTTTGGCTTTTGGTAGTGGGCAGGGGACTGGCATGCCAGATTTGAATGTATCTTAGCAGATGGATGTATATTCTACTTATTCATACAAAATGACGATCTTATTTGGCAAGGCAAGCACCTTCTTGACCATCTTATCTGGCTTCAAATTCGCATTCATTGCCTCTTCTAGAATCACATCGAACACCTTCCCGAAATCAGTCGTCCAATCCTGGCTTTTGATCAAAGTCTGCATATATTCGGCCCTCGAATTAAGATCATCGCCTTGTATCGAATGCAGCTGAGGGTTTTTGCATTAGGTGACCACTTTTCCCTTCCTTGGCTCGTCACTCAATTGAGGCAACAAAAGCCCCAAAGCCAAACCCGCCGACAAGGTGTTGTCAACATCACACAGCTAACCAATTCTTCAACTTCACCTGCTTTGAGTAGACCTCCACCATTTTCTTCCACTTAACATCAGCCTCTTGCTCGAGCTCAGGATGCTTGATATAACTTAATATGTCATGCGAAAGCAGCGCAGCATAGCCAGGATCAATCTCATTGGCTGCAACCAGTTGCTCTTGCTTGTACTCCACTCTATAACCCCACCGGTTGGCAGGTTCCCAGCCCTCTGGCGCCATAGTTTTTCTCAAGGGCGACAAAACCTCCTGCCTTAGTCGGTCAATACAACAAACACTACCATCCCCTTCTCAAAGGCATGATTCTGGCGAGAAAACCTTCCTTGCAATGTTTTCGAACAACATATGATGATCAGCGATGGTAGGCAAAGAAGTAGCCGTTTGGGTAATCTCCAAGCAGTAATCATCATGATGGTCATGGTTATGGTCCTTGTGATGATGAAATTTTTCAATATCAGACTTGAGGCACTGGGCAAAAATATCCGAAACACAGTTGTGCAAGAAGCGGTAATTAGTGTCGCGCTCGTATCTCTGAGCCGCCTTGTTGGCTGTGTGGATCGCCTTCCTCCTCAACAACAATTCGCTTGCCCTTGACTTGGCGTCCTTTTCCTTGACCTTCACCATTCTGTTTGAATCTGCCTCCTCCCTTGTCCTCCCAATAAATTTCAAGTGAGCTTCGCCCCATAGAACCTGCGAGAGAATGCAGGGAAGGTCTAGGATACGTCCGAAGGAGCCGGAAATTGGCACGAGATTGTAGGCAAGGGTTTTTGGGTGGTTCTGGTGGAGCCAAATCGTTACCGTGAAGAAAGCTTCGTCTTGGTTGCGTTTTCCACCGTCGCCGCGTCTGTCTATGAAGTTGCAGATGAGTTTAAGGCTGGTTAGAGTATTGTGCGACCAAGCCGAATGAAGCACTTGGTTCATCAGAGTTTCCTGGAATTCCACGGGCGACATGGCGTCTTGTCCCTTGGCGTAGTGGAAGTACAGATCAACGCAAAGGTTGTTGATGTTGTGGAAGCCTAATTGGAGTTGTTTGAATTTGAATTGCTCGGGCAAAGGCGGAGCAATTCTTGTGAATTGTGGCCAAACAGCCTTGTTTCGGCATGCTTCCAGAATCGATATCACTAGCATGAATGCCCGCGCTTTACTGCAGGTTTTCAAACCATGAATAATATTCATAGAAAAAATAACTGAAAATACTACAGGAATACAATTACATTCTTAAATATAGCAATTCAAACAACACACGTTGTACATGAGTAACGCTCACAAAACCACACATTTACACAATTATCTCCAAATGAAAGAAAAAGCAAGAGGTAGGTGAATTGATCCATAAAATAAGCAGTTCAATTTACATTGCTACTCTCTTGTAACTTATTAAAGCTTCTTTGCAGATCAATCATAGTGATTTCTTCATTGCTTTCACCAGATATTTCTATAGTTCTACTCTAGTAGTCCAGTTGACAGAACAAATAGCAAGTGCAATTTTATTCACTGCTTTGAATGTGTTGTAAAGATAATACCACCAAATAAGGGTGGCAATTGATTCTTGTAATAACATACTATAAAAGTAAAGGTATGGATAAAATAGAAAATGCGTCCTTTGAAAGATATAGAACAAACCTGAAATTCAACGAATTGTTCTTTTACAAAGCGCAACACCAAACTTGATTTCCCAGCTCCAACATCCCCAAGAAGCACCTGAAGAACATCAAACATCACTATGGTGATCACGACATGCATTACCCAAAGAAAAATAATTTAAGAAAAAATAAACCTATTCATCACATAATGCTAAAATACATATGACTACATATCCATAATTCCTATGTTTACGGAACATCTTTCGATAAATCACAACCTTCATTTTAAAATGGACTTTTGTATTTGTATTTTGCTTGTGAGTATGGTCTTGGTTAAAATTTAGCATTCTAGCATTTATTTATATGATATCATATAGCAAGAAAGCTATGAGACCTGACTCGTATATTGTATTCTCGTAGACCCTCAAAATACCAGAGCTAGACCGAGATAAACAACACGAAAGAGTAAAACTTCTGCTTTACATGTACACTGACATTTGCATGTGCAGAGCTCTCTTTCCTCCTTTCCTTTCTTTTCTTCCTCACCTTTCGGTTCTTTCTCCTTAATATAAGGAGATTGTTGTTTTGTTGTTAGTGGTTGCCATCATCATCACATTCAAATCAACTTTAGTTAATATAATTAACTTTAATAATTGTAAGAGGAAGTAATGATTATGTCCAACATTTGTAGGCTATATCTACAAAAAAGTACTAAAAAAGTTTAAACACAAAACCCCCAAAATTATAAAATCAAAATATAATGTACTACCCCTTTTCTCCCGTTTTTCTCTCACCCTCCATTTCTGCAAATCACCTACCTCCCTCTCTCCCTATATACTCCCTACCTCTCTCATAATGTCAAAACTCTCAAACCCAATTCAGTGCCTCATTACCTAGTTTTTTTTTGTACATCTTTTTCAACTAAACCCTAAACCCTAAACAATCTACTGCTGCAAGCAACATAACGTCCACTTTGCAGATTTTTGTGGAACCACTTTGCAGGTTTTGTTGAACCACTTTGCAGGTTTTGTGGAACCACTTTAAAAATTCAAATCTTTAAACACCTGATGATCAGATTTACTGGAAATTCAAAACTTCAATAGGTATCCCTCCTTACCACAGATATGTAGTTTTAAAAATAAAACCAAAATGATTAATTCCAATTAACATATACTTGAAAACTACCATAGTAATATTGATTACTTAAACTACTTTTTAAATATACCCAGCAAGGTAACTTTTGGGTTTGACAAAAATTTTAAACCTACAAATGGATATATCAAAATCAATTTGTAAGTATGATAAAAGTCCCTATGACAGCATCAAAGCAACTATAATCACAAAGAGGTTGAGAGATTACTTTCTGATTATCAAAACCATTACTGGATTTATGCAGACACAAAATCTCACAATATTATTACCACGACCTTATGCATAGTAGGAACAACACTATAATCATCTGCCTACCAGAAATTAACTCTTCTACAACAGCAAGTTTAACAACCAACCAACCTTTGAACAAAGAACACACGGACAGAAAGAAGCAGGATACATAAGGGGCAAAACAATTTTCTTACTTCTACATCAAAGCAAAAGAACAACCATTATATAGGTATGCCATTATCATCTGGGGAACAAATCCAATTGGCAGCTTTTACGTACCTACAATTATAAGCAAAGTTTGGAATTCACAAAAAATACTGGGCAAATACTAAGGCTGCCATTTGAAAAAGCTAAACAACAACAAACTTTGACAAATTAACTACAACTAAATTCAGATGACATTCGATATATGAAGACAATCTGAGAAATCAAAGGCTCTAAAATCAATACCATATTTCATGTGCCTTTTATTGATAGTGAACCCAGCAGTAGAACCAGGATAAAAAATTGATTTAGAACCTTGCTATCTTTGTCCTTGTAAATATGATATTTTGGCATCGGCAATATATGACAACAAAAAAAACAAATATATCAGAACTCGAAGAAAATATAGAACGAAAATAAAAAAGCAAACTATGAACGTTTAGAAGCTAATTTCATTAGCAATTAAAGCAACCAAGCTCTCTCAACATCAAGATTCAGGGAACCCAGAAATTTGATGAAAATTTTTCTAATCGCTCAATTGGATTAGACAAAATCATGAATTTTTTTCTAAAGCCCAATTATATTAAATCACAAATTTGAAGCAGATTTTGAAGACTGAAAATTTTGACTAAAAATTAATGAACTAATTTTTCTTAATCAATAATAGCATACATATTTTCAAATTATCAATCAATAATTCACATATCGTTAAGGGTAAACAAATATATGAAGACTGAAAATTTACTCACACATCTAATATATCCTTGCATTTCTATTTGAATTCAGAGTGTGGAAATCACATCAACAAATCAAAGCCCTAAATTTTTATCATCATGAACAGGAAAAATCTATAAAATCTAAAAATTTTGACTAAAAATGCTAACTTAGGAATATGAGGAAATTTGCAAATTAGCTAAACAATGCTATTATTTATCCAATCAAAGGCAAATTGGAATGGTGCAGAACTAACACTACAAAATTCGTTAAACTAAACAATGGGTAGAATGTTTATAAGATTTATATTTTATACAAAAGTTAATCTTCTAAAAAAGCAAAAAACACAAATTTTTTGTTAAGCAATCGCATGGATTATATATGCCAAAGATTAGGTGATGGTAGGCGTCAGATTACCTCTTTCGCCGAAGATGCGAAACCCCTCATTGCCGACGTGGCGGGGCGGATCCTCTGCCCCAAAGTCTGAACCAACACAAAGATTAGGCAGTAAATCACATAATAATAAATTAATCAAGTGTTTTATATAATGAAAGTTCATAAATTGCAGAAGTAGAGTGTGTACCATAGCTGATGAGCTTCCAGCTCCCACTTTTTGCCTTAAAATTCCCAACATCTTTGATTCTTTCACACAAAATCACACTGAACGCAAACAAAAATCAGAAACAAAATACGATCTAAGAACTGAAAATTTCAGTGAAAGCACTGACAGAGAGATGAGGAGGAATGAATAACAAAGGATATACTGGAAATATGAAAAAAAAAAAAATCAGATCAAAATTCGGACAGAAATAAACAATACGAATTAGGGATTTGGGAGGGGGACGAACCTGTTTGGCGGATTGGAGCGGGGATCGGATCGACGATGCGAGGTGTAAAAAATGAGCGTTGAGGGAGCGGAGCAGCAGCAGCCAACACTTTCATGCAGACCTTACTTGGAAAACCCAGATTAAACCAACCTTGAAGTTTCAAGGTTTTTACCCCGGAATCCAGGCAAAACCCAGATCAGACTCTAAATGGGTTTATCAAAAATAATAATTTAATCAGAAAGGCTTATTCTTGGAAAACCCAGATCAGATTGTAAATTGTGGTTGCAATAATACAATAACACTCAAAATGATGTAGTGGGTGTACGGAATAGGTGAATGTGACCAGCCTACCCATGTGTCTAATGGATTAAAATAATAAAATGGTATGTGATGTGATATGCTTTAGGTCCACATAATAATAAAATATTAAACAATGAGTTGTAAAGGGAAGATACAGATGCTCGTATTTTCTTCATGAATTTTTCCAGACAGTGAGATAGTGGGTATATATTACACTCTGTATTTATACCCTGCCATGAATGATTAAAGTTTCACTCTAAACGTTTAAATAACAAATGTAGTCGTCAGGAATTATTAAAGATATGGTAATTACCCTTCTAAGGTGAAATCAAGCCCAAATCTGATGGGTTTCTTGTAAATAAGGTGAAATCAAGGCCAATCCGTCCCATACCCTATGGACAAAATTATCCTTCTAAGTTCTAATAAGGGAAAATTAGAATCTCCTGCACTTTTTTAATACTTTTTAGATTAAACATTGGTTCTATTTTGAAATTTGATTAGGATGCCTAAACAATAAACATTTTTATATTTATTTAGATTACATGTAATTATTGTGTTTTTTTAATTTAAAATGTTAATTATTAAATTCCATATATATCCTTTTAGGTTGATATATTTATGTACTTGGCCTTTTTTTTTTGAAGCCAGTTTCTTCTCCCACGTTAGAATTCTGTGATTCTCATCTTTTAATTTTGAATTGACTTATCCATTTCAATTAGTGGTTGTTTTCACTTTTTTATATTGATATCATGTGTGATAATTAGACATATTCTCTATTTTCGGAGGCATGAGGCTGGTACGTTCAGATAATATATTTAAACGTACCGAATATGTACCAAGGAAAAATATATGTTTAATCAAGAGGAAATATATGTACCAAATATGTTTTTTTTTAAATAAATATAAAAGTGCCAAAGACGGCCATGCCCTCTACTTCTTATACTAGCTACGTACGTTGCTGCGGTGTAACTCCTAGCAAGTTGGATGGATTTGAGATCCAACCAAAGCTCCATATGGGATTCTTAATTCGATTGATACTAAAACCCTAATTAACAATTTGGCTAATACACAACATGCATCGACCCTAACGTGTGAATCATTTTTTTAACTCGATAATAGCTTCAGATATACCTAAATTAATCAAGTTTTCATCTTTAATTTTTCCGTTTAATCAAAACATTCGACTTCGAAAGACAATCAAAATCAACGCACCCAACTGATAATTGAATAAAAATCAGTAACTGGAACCTGAATACCAACATCGACCTCGGTACAAAAAGAAGGCTTCTGAAACTTATGGTACATTCATAGGAAGGAAATGCCGCAAGAAAATAAAATTCACTAGAAAAATAACATTATTAATATCCTTAAATTCAAATTCTTCTCATATTCAACAAGTATTCTTCTCGGATTAAAACTCTGAGACATTAGTTAACAAGAATCTAGGAAATTTGCGTGCATTTTGGGGTGAAGAATCTGGATACGGCAAAGAGATATGTTAAAGGCTATGGCAAAATATGTAATTTAGGTACATTACAATGGGTTAATTAAAATACACATGACACCAAAATTGTAGGAGAATGTTTAATCAAATTGTTCAAATGAACAGATGTTTAATCTAAGAAGCCTAAAAATGAGGGGTCTATATCAAAACGCCCCTTCTAATAATTACCCTTCCAACCCAACCCAAATATGATGGGTTTCTTGTAAATAAGGTGAAATCGAGGGGCAAAAATTTAACTGTAGCTAAATGAACAGTAAATCCTACCTCAATTTTAGAATAGATAACTAGAAAGTGTAGGCAGCGAGTTGCTGCGGGAAATGTGATTCACACGTTACTACGGTATTAGAAAATGTATGACATATTTTGATGAACTAAGTTAGAAAAACGACTACATGTGCAAACAATGCAAACAACTAAATTAGACGCAAGCCAACTAATTTCGAATTTAACCAAATCAGAAAAACAATCACAATCGAACAAATCTCTACTTCCCATATGAAGTAGAAGATGTCCCCTGTTTTGCATCTGTGAACAACGCGGTTTTCACCCTCTACGAACAAAAAGATGAAAGTAAAAATGTTTAACAACATTATAAAAATTATACATACATGATTATATATGTATTTGCACAAAGTATAAAGATTTACTAACAGATTCGAGGTTAAATTTAACAAAACAAGTAATTATGAATTGAAATCAAAATATATCATAGTTGTTAAAAAATACTTTTGGCTAAATCTTACAAATAGAATGAAAACTAGTAAGAGATGCCTGCGCGATGCTGCGGGATTGAAAACTGTATGAAATTTTGTGTATAGCACTATGTACATACAAAAATACTTGATCTATATCTACATACTATTTTATGTGCAAAAGATTTGGTAGATAATCCTATTTACATACAAAAGAGAATGCTTGATGCATATGTATATAACATTTACATACAAAAGATTTACAAAATTGTCCGACTTACATACAAAAGATGGTCGAAAGATACTATGATAAAGAAATCTAGTGAACTATTTGAGTTTTAAGCGAATGGGATAAAGAGATCATGTTTAATAGATCGTTAATAATTCAAAAAGTATAGAACAATGAAAGGGTATACATACTCTGTTTTGCAGCCATAAATATGGTTTCAGAAATGATTGGGGAACCTGATACATTTCTGGTTGGAGCCTTTGGACTGAGTCGTGTCTGATATTTCCTTTGCTGCAACATCACTAATAAAAAGGTAAATAGAGGAAAATAAAAGTGTTAGTAAATATTGAGTAGTGTAGAATTTCGAACAATGAAAAACTATGAACTTGATATCAACGTTTGTGAGATGAATAAATTTGAGATGAAGATAATACATACTGGATTTTGGGACAAATAAAAATGATTCCGGAATTGCTTGGGGTTGCTTTGATTTTCGAAGAAATGATAGGGGCACCGTCGAAATTTGAGTCAAAAGCTGAAACTTTTTCTATGGAGCTTTTGTGTCGTCATTGAGATGTAAAACAGAGGATAGTTAAAGGCATTAGTGAACATTGAGGTTAAAATTAAAGGCATTATATAAAGGCTAATTATATTAACACCTCACAAATTGTTGAATAAACCCCACAAACTTAATACACCCCCACATTTGCTTTTTCACTTAAAAATTATCTTAATACACCCCACTTACTTTTCCATAATACCCTCACACCCCACATTCTCAATATACATATTATATTTTGTACATACACCCCACATTTCTCAAATCTTATAACACTCATTTTTAATTTTCTGGGATTGAATCTAACCATATGAACACTAAAAGATGAATATGAATATAGAAGTTTAAATAATGCAGCAAACGCAAAATTAAATAATTATCGATGTCATCGAAATCACTAAAACAATGAAAACCATGAAGTTTTACATCATGTGAAGCTCCTGAAACATCGATTTCGTGTTCCATTCGTCAAAAACAATTTTTCTTAATCAACATGTTTGATAGTTGAGAAGATAAAAAATACGCTAAAAGTGATTTGGGGTGTATTTATAAATCTTTATTTTTTTTTAAACCTAATAAGGTCAAAATTGTCATTGCATAGTGGAGTAAATAAGTCATTTAATATTAAATTTTAATGTGGGGTGCATTCAACATTTTGTGGGGTGTTAATATAAAAACCCTTATATAAATGTAAAACACACACATTTATACGTAAGCAATAATGCTAACATGACACTATAGATGTAAAAAAAAAATGATAATCGCATTTTTTTCTGAAATTGCTCACCTTCCTTAATCTTTTCTAAAGAAGCAATGATTCGCATCCTGTAACCAAAATCGGAAAATAACATATGATTACCCAAAACCCATCTCAGGTAAACTAATCGCAAAAAAATTAAAAAACTCATGCATTCAAATTTCAAAGAGCAAACAAAATTAATAATAATAAAATTAAGAAGTGAAAGCTGACAGACCTTGAGATCGAATATGTCCTTCCTTTTGGGTCTCTTGTTCAATAATGCGTCAACACAATAAATACAATCTTTTTACTTGCTCTCCCTCCATATCCTCGACAACTAAAAAGCAGCAGAAGCACAACAACTACTGAGCATTAAACCTAAACTCAACTAAGGAGATCAGGTAATCTACTCAAACATACCAACTCAGTCCTTGGGCCACTTCAACTTTGCAAATACACGACCTTCTATCCTTGCATTTGACAATAATTTTCATGTCTCATAGTTTTTAACTACCCATACCTATACCCAACTGTCAATTACCTAGTCAGTGCACCAAATTGTGAGGCTGTTCCAGGTTTTTGTTCTTGATATTTACAAAAATGTGAAACCTTATAAGTAAATTGAAAATAAGGTATGATATTGTTGCTAGGTGAAGTGCTTGGCACATTTTTATATGCAAAATAATAATAATAATAAAAGAATTATGTATCATTGATGGAGCTATTAAAGTTCTTCACTTTAACATCTCGATTAAATAACAAAATGGCCGTTGATGAAATCATAAGATATTTATGTGAATGATGTGATGACTTAATGAGGGCTATCTTGCATGTGTTAATATATTGAGAAAGAAGAAAGTTTAAAGTATAGTCAAATAGATTAAAACGTTTAACTTTTCGTTGCTGTAATTCTGTTTTTCAGTCATGTTGATTAACAGCTTCTTCTATATTTGGCTTCTCTGAATGTTTCAAGGTTGCAAGTTTCCCATTTGATGATCATAATTGCCCCCCAAGCGAACTCATAGAATCTTTCTGTCGAAGTGCTCATTCATGGTTACAGGAGGGCATCGAAAATGTTGTGGTGGTTCATTGTAAAGCTGGTATGGCAAGGACAGGAGTGACGATTTGTAGCCTTCTCGTATTTCTTAAGGTAAGATCAATAATCAGCACCTTAAGACCTGGGGTTGTATGGTGGAAATGTTGGTGCTTCTTTTGGCTTTATATTTCTTGCACTTATGGCTATAACTTTTTCTTGTTTGTTTTTCCATGTATCTGCAGTTCTTCCCTACGGCTGAGGAGGCCATGAATTACTATAACCATATAAGGTGTATAGATGGAAAAACTCTGGTTGTCCCAAGTCAGATTGTGAGTCAGTTAAATTTTTGGATTTCCCGTTTAAGCTTGATGTTCCTTATCTATCTACATCAATGTGATTAACAATTTTTTCTATGATTTTCCCAGAGATACGTCAAATGCTTTGAGCATATCTTAAAACACTTCAATGGAGAAACTCCTCCAGATCGGAGGTACACGTCTCCAAAATGTATCAGTCTGACCTTTCACTTATATATATGTATCTAAGCGGTACATTGGTGTTGTAATGAGGACCTATTTACTCCTTAAGTTAAAAGCATAAATAAAACCAAACAAAAACATAAACAAAATCAACCCCAAAATCAACCCCAAAACCAACTCGAAGGTGCAACCGAATTTAACTCCAATATAATAAAACTTAAAACAAAAAACTAAATCCACCAGAAATTTAAATTGCTTACCTTGAGAGGGCTTCGGAAAACGACGGCGCTAAAGCCTGAAAACAAAAACCCAAAAATCAGAAAAATAAAATTTGCACAGAAAACCCATTTTGATATTCATATTTAATTATAAACTCACATCAGGTGGCATTTTCCAGATACAGAAAAAAAGACGAATAAATGAATTCCCACGAATGTAACTCTTTAAAAAAAAAAAAAAAAAAAAAAATTAATTCTACAACAAAACCTAAAAGCGAGCAACCAAAGTTTCTCAACTCAAGCATAAATGTCTTCCAAAGCTGCATACAAAAGTTCAAAAAAAAAAAAAAAAAAGAAAAAGAGAAGAGAAACAATTTCAACAAAAAATCCATTTGTCAAGACCCACAACACAACTTAACTAAAAAACTCATTAAAAGTTTTTCCCCAAAAACCCCCATCTCTGTCATCAAACGAAAACTCCGAAAGCAACAACCCATTTAAAATGGAACCCAAAAAAATTAAAAGCTTCTAACATTTGGGCAAGACAACCAAAAATGAAATCAAACTGCAAAGCAAAACTCAAAAGTTTAGAAATCACTAACCTTAATACGTAAAAATTCTCTCAAAAGAGAGGCTTGAAACAAACGGTGAAAAAGACGAAATCGATCCAACGTACGGATGGCAGCCAAAAACAGAGAAGAACAGCCAACAATGATTGCAAAAATCAAAGATCGTGTCTCGCCGGAGATAATTTCGCGAAACGAAAAGGAAGAAATTGAGAGAAATCAGAGCGCACAACGACAACGAAGGAAAACCCAGTTGAGGAAAGCAAAAAATGGAGAGCTGAAAGGTGAAGTGAAAGAGATGAATGGAAGGAGAGAAAGAAACGACACAGAACACTTGGGATCAATGGGTAAAACCGGCAATTCACTGCAAACATAAGGGCAAAGCTAAGAAAACCCGAGGGCATTACCGTCCTTTCACTGTTCACGAACAGTGAAAAATAGTGCTTAGGGGAACTGGGTTTTAGTATATGTATAATGTCGCTTTCTTATCAACTAATCAATTGTCTCAGCTGCGGAAAAAATTGATTTCAAAGTGTCCTTTACCAACTGAATGATGCATAAAATCTTTAATTTCAAAATAAACCAACTTTCAAAAATCCCAACACGATATGACATTATAAAAAACCTTAAACCCTTTACTGGAACAAACCTCAAAATGCCCACTAATTGTTCTGGATGGGACACACCAATTTTTACCATGAGAAAAAAGCAACTCCAAACCCAAATTAAGCATTTGATAAATCGTATTTACTGAAGAGAATTTTTTTTTGAGAGGGAAGCTTACCAATGTTAGAAAAGTTAAATTCAGTGTAAGAAAGTGGAAGAATATTGACATAAACATAGTAGTGGGATTCATTATGTTATTTTGTATCAATTCAAATGGATGAAAAATATTAAAGGAACTATAGGTCACAGTTTGGAGTATGCAAAAGTACTACTTCAAATTTTCAACATGCTCAGTAGATCTCTAAATTTCAAAAAGTGTACAAATTGAAACTAATAGAACTATTTCTAACTTTTCAAAAGTATTTAAATTGAAACTAATAGATCTTTCTTCTGTATACTGATAATTTAAGAATTGAAACTAATTTAACTCTTTTGGATATTGATACTTTAATATTTGCTACAAAAAATGAATCCATAACTTTCTTAGAGCATGAAATTGGAGCTAACATCAAAAAAAAAAAATGTATCAAATTAACGATATGCAATCAATTAACAATTTCATAACAAAACAACTAAAAAGTCAGACCCAAATAACACAGATTTTATTCGCTTTTGCATACCAATTAAGAAAAAAATCTTATGATAAAATTCAAAACCCGCATAGACAAAAAATTCTATTAAACTGAAATCTCACCCTAGGAATAAAGCATGCTTACAGAAACTTTCCTTTATGTTGAGATTGATTCCGGCAGTTAATGAAGTTGCAGTGTTTTCTTTGTTTTGGGAGCCATTCATACCTGAAGAAACATTTAAGTATCAAATTCCTTCACAAAATGAGTTTTCACGTAATCTGAAAAAGGTCTTTTAATCACAATCTTAAGAAACAGAACAACCGATATATACACAATGACAAGGCTTAATCAAATGAAAAATGACAAGGCTTAATCAAATGACAAGGCTTAATCAAGCTAAAGTCGATGAGCTAGAAGCTCAAAACAACAAAATAGCAATGACGAATGAGATCCTCCAAGAGCAGTATGAGAAGCTCTTTGAGACGCTCCATGAAACTATGCGTACTCAAACACATGAGCTTGTTGCCCCTATGGACATCAACCATCACCTGGGTGCCCCCGAACAAGGAGGGTCATCTTTCTTCGACATGGGTATCCCTGATGAGGAGCGAGCTAATCATCAAAACATTGATCAACATGAGACTTCTCTCAACCCAGCTGCTTCGACCCGAAACAGGAGAAGTGGAGGAAGACACCTTCTTGCAGAAAGGTTGGAAGGATCGAAAGCCGTTTATCGTCACTGCCGAGACTTCCTAAAGCAACGTCGAGAGAATCCCCTCCATATATGCTCGAAGATCAATGACCCAAGGGTTTCGGAAATACTCGGTCCCCTCCTACGATCCAGGCCAGCTGCCAATCTAGGGAAGGAACGACATGTCCTAGAGGAACATAAAGGTACAGGGGACTCTGAGGTATTTCGACAGACTCACCCTAGAAGTCAGTACAACGAGTCCAAGGAAAAATCACACGCCCTTACTTAAACTTTCCTACTTCAAAGAGGCGATTGAGACTTACGAAAGAAAATCCCAGTGGTACATGACTCCACTCAAGACCCCCTTGTCCTACAGCTCCTTAAGGAAGTAAACAAGTTGAAGGCCGAATGCCAGGCCAAGATACCTGACTGGAACCAATCCAGGCCTGGCCCTCTCACAAGAAGGATCCTTGACACCCCCTTCAAGCGAAGACAAAACAAAAGCTTGGTTTACAACTCTATACTGGAAGGGAGGACCCAATTAAACACCTTAACCTCTTTGAGTCCACTATGGCATATCGGGTGCACACCGACAAAGAGCGATGTCTTCTTTTCCCATCCACCTTCTCTGGCGGAGCTCTAAACTGGTATTGCCGTCTTCCACCTGAGACAGTAAACTCATTTGAGGAACCAAGGAAACTGTTTGTCTCTCAACACATCTTCCAGACCGATCGCTTGCATTCTACAGATAACTTGTACACTATTCGCCAGAAGCCGGACGAGTCACTACGAGAGTATGTTAGTCGTTTTAGCCATGAGTATTCTCGTTGCACTTAGGCAGATAACAAGACCACCCTCAAGGCCTTTACGGCAGGCCTACGTGATTGTTTCTTCAAGTACATGATCAATGACAACACTTGGAAGACTTACTCTGAGGTGATGGCACAGGCTTACAACCATGCCTTCGCCGAGGCAATGACATATCAAGGGAAACCCCCCACAACCACCCCTTATCAGCAAGTAGGGAGTGGAAGCCAGATCTAACCAAATGAGAAGACCTCGACCTTCCAAACGGTAACGGTGCCTCCCCTTGCCTTACTTAATACTTCGCCAAGTCAACAGACATATCAATCTTAGGGCAAAAGGAAAGATTTCCATCCTCACTAGTCTCATTTTAGTAAAAAGAGTAAGGGACACTACTGCGATAACCAAGGGTATCGCTATGATAATCCCCGACCCCAGACAGTCAACATAATGGGTCAAGCACGTGTTAGGACAGCCCCTACCCTGAGGTATGAGGCATACACACCTTTGAACGCCACATGCGTGGCCATTTACCCCAGCATAACACACTTGATACCGAAGCCAAAGCCGAGGCACCCGGATTACAAGCCCATGAAGAACACGGGCACGTTTTGCTGCTACCACGAGCATAACAGCCATGACGGCGAGAAGTGTATCACCCTTCGTGATCATATTGAAGCTTTGGCAAGTGAAGGAAAAATTGATCAATTCCTTCTTCACCCTCCAAGGGGTAACCGTAACCAACGCCAGGTAAATGTGATATATTCCATAAGTGGTGGCATACCCATATCTAAATCTTCCAACATGATCATGAAAAATAGTGAACGAGCTTTAAGGTCTGGCCACCAAGTGTTTCACGTGGAAGACATCAGGGGAGGTAAGTATCAAAAGCCTAACTGGGATCCAATATGTTTCTACCCTGAGGAAGAAAGAGGTATCATCTACCCTCACAATGACCCACTGATCGTGGAAGCTCACATAGCCAACTTTGAAGTACGACGAATCTTGGTAGACACAGGGGCTTCGGTCAATATCATGTTTGATGAAGCTTTCAGGGCACTTAATGTAGCTGAACACTTGCTCGATCGCTCGATTTCCCCTCTGATAAGCTTCTCCGGTGATATCGTGCAACCTTTGGGGAGCATACACTTACCTGTACAGACCCTTACACAGCTACCATTACCACTAACTTCCTGGTGGTTGATTGCCCAACGGCATACAATGCCATCTTCGAACGCACAGGCATCAATGATCTCAAGGCCATGGTATCCACACATATGTTGTTGATGAAATTTCCAACCCCCTATGGCAATGGTTACATCAGAGGAGATTAACTTAATGCACGATCATGTTACAACACTTCGGTCAAGCAACAACACCTGCATGTGCCCAAGGAAACCCTTTCTATACATGACCAAGTCATAAAGACCAACCCAGACGAAGCCAACTTGGATCTTCACGGTGGCAACAGTCAACCTGACGATCCTCGAGATGACTCTTTCACCCAGCAAGCACAACCCGCTGAAGAGTTAGAGAAGGTCTCTATCTCAAAAGATTATCCGGATTGCATGGTGAAGATTGGTACCACCTTGTCACCACCCATTCGGTTGGCATTGATCTCTTTTTTGCAAGAGAACACTGAGGTCTTCGCTTGGTCATACGAGGACATGCCAGGCATCTCTCACGATATAATCTGTCATCGTTTAAGTATTGACCCCAAGACTAAGCCAGTGAGACAGAAGCGAAGATCTTATGATGCTGAACGGTACGAGGCAATGAAGGTAGAAGTTGAAAAACTCAAAGGCATAGGCTTCATCCAAGAAGTCAATTATCCAACGTGGGTAGCTGTTGTACTTGTTAAGAAGAATCCGACCAAGGAAAGTCTCCTGCTCCAAAAGGTCTTGTGGAGAATATGTGTCGATTACACCGACCTAAACAAAGGATGCCCGAAGGATATCTTTCCTCTTCCTCTCACAGACAGACTTATAGACTCTACAGCAGGGTGTGAACTCCTGAGCTTCATGGATGCTTACTCAGGATACAACCAAATCCTCATGAACCCTCTAGACCAAGAACACACAGCCTTCACTACTAACAGGGGACTATATTGCTATAAAGTCATGTCGTTCGGCCTAAAAATTGCAGGAGCGACTTATCAGAGACTGGTCAATTCAATGTTCGCTGAACAGATTGGGAAGAACATGGAAGTTTACATTGATGATATGCTAGTCAAGAGCAAACATGCTGACCAACACATCACCAACCTATCTGAAACTTTCATCATTCTGAAGAGGTATCGAATGAGGTTGAATCCCAACAAATGTGCCTTCGGCGTAGGCTCTGGCAAATTCTTAGGCTTCATGATAAGCCAACGAGGCATTGAGGCTAATCCCGAGAAGATCAAAGCAATCCTCGACATGAAGGAACCGGTAACTTCAAAAGACAGCCAGAGCCTTACTGGCAAGGTGGCAGCCTTAACTAGGTTCATCTCTAAGGCCACAGACAGATGTGCTCCTTTCTTCAAAGCACTTAAGAG